TGAGAGTAACGGGTGTACGTCAATATTTATATATATATATATAAAAAAAAACGTTGGGTAAATTAGTTAGAAAATTTCTTTTATATGGAATAAGTATAAATTAAAAAAAAAAAAGAAGAGAAAGTGCTAATTGTCGAAATTTCGAGAGGAATTATAAAAATATAGTTAATTTAATTACCCTCATTTAATCACATTTTGGCCCCTACTTTCTACAAATTTTCATTGACCATCACCTCTTCTTCCTTGAAATTTAAACCCATCATTTCATTAATTTCAGCCACATTTACCTTGCATTTCACCACAAGCTCTTGACATTTGTAATGAACATTAAATGGATGAGATTATGTGAGATATTTAAGTAAGAAAAATGGGATAAGGATGCATTTTTGGTGCATCCCGTAGCTACCTTAAAACCAAGAAAGAAAGAGTCAAAGAGAGGGGAGAAAGAGAAAAAAGGGAAGGAAAAAGAAGGGGAAACTAAAAGGAAGCAAAAGAGATTTTAGGAAAGTTAATCCAATGTAAGTAGGTTTCATTTTTTTCTTGCTTTGTTTATGCTTTTCATGTTTATTTTATGAGTTATTTAATTCATGTGAAATGTGATTATGGTATTTGTGATGATTTTAAACACTTGATGTTTGATGATGGATGGTGAAGGATGTGTGTTGAGAAATGTGCTTTAAGAGAAGATTTTCGGATTTTAGGGGTGGAAAAACCTAAACTTGGTGTGATTTATTTTGGTATCTTAGAGTGATTTTTAGAAAAACTACAAAGAATGAAAGTTGTTGATATATGTGTCTAATATGTTCCTTTAACATTTCGTGACTTTTAGAGATATATATATGGAGTTATGACTAAATTGGTATGAATCGTTCGGATGGAACCTCTACTGGAAAAATATTTCATTCCGAAAGTTGTGCGATTTATTTCGGGATCATAGAGTGGTTTTTGGGCAGAACTCAAAGAAGAAAAGTTGTTCCTCTATGGGTCTACTATATGTATATAACATTTCATGATTTTTAGATCTGTACATAAGGATTTATGACTGATTTGGTACGGGTCGTTGAATGGACCAACTACTGGAAAAGTTTATTTAGTTCCGAAACTTGTGTGAATTATTTAAGGATTTTAGAATGATTGTTGGAGGAAACTTAAAGAATGAAAGTTGTTTACCTATCTGTCTAATATCTCCCCTTAAAATTTCGAGAGTTTTAGATAGATATTTAAGGAGTTATGGCTGGTTTAGTATAGATTGTTTAGGTGTGTCACTGCTGGAAAATTTTAACCTAAAATAAATGAACTTGGGCTTGGATTAAAATAAATGGGCTTGGACTAATGTTAATGAGCTTAGACTTGAATTAAAATAAGATGGGCTTGGATTTAAAAATAAAGTGGACTTAGATTAAAACAAATGGACTTGGCCTTGGATTAAAATAAATGGGCTTGGACTTGAATTAAAATGAGATGGGTTTGGATTTAAAAATAAAATGGACTTAGGTTAAAACAAATGGACTTGGGCTTGGATTAATGTTAATGGGCTTGGACTTGAATTAAAATAAGATGGGCTTGGATTTAAAAATAAAGTAGACTTAGATTAAAACAAATAGACTTGGACTTGGATTAAAATAAATGAGCTTGGATTTGAATTAAAATGAGATGGGCTTGGATTTAAAAATAAAATGGACTTAAATTAAAAAAATGGACTTGGGCTTGGATTAATGTTAATGGGCTTGGATTTAAATAAAATAAACTTGGTAATGGACTTGGACTAATATCAAAAGACTTGGTTTTAAAGTAGATGGGCTTAGACTAACGAAAATGGGCTTAGGCTAAAATAAGTGGACTTAGATAGAAATAAAAAGGATTTTAAACTTTTAAAGAAAATTTATTCTTTCATAGAGGAAAACAAATATGGATGAAAATATGAGAAACACAATAGCACTCGCATATCACGTGCATCACCCTACTTACCGAGCTTTGGCTCATTCCGTTATTGTATTTGTGTGTTGTTCGTGCAAGGGCAAAGTTAAGTCGATCGAGGATGCTACCGGTTCTCGTTAAAAGAGGCTCATGTGTCACTCATAAAAGTAGAAATATCTTTTGTGTCATTAAAAAGGGGTACGGGCCTAGGTTGTAAAATCATAGGCATTTTGAATATGTTATAAATTATAGAACTATTTGTAATAATATTGTATATTATATTATACGTTTCTCATGTTTTAGTTTCGTTGTGTATGATGGAGGAAGTAGAGGACTTAGTCCCAACGAGTGTGTCGCGCCGGTCACGCTTATTAGGTAATAGGTAAGGGAGCCGGAGGCGTCACATCATATCATTGAGCTCAAAGGCTACCCCTCCTTTTATACTCAACCCTCCCTTTTTTATTTAGATTGTTACCAAAAAAAATATATAATATTCCTTGCATGCATTAATCAAATATAGAAAGATGAATTTAAACGAAAAAGGATGAAGAGACCCAATAAAGCAAAAGAAAAAAATAGAGAAACTTCTACAACTATTAATCCAATATCAATCCAATATCAATAATAGAAACAATAATAGTAATCTTTAAGACACAAATTCATCAATACAATAGACCAAAAAACTTCGTTTAAACTAATTATTTGGGCATATTTTTTCATCAATCCATCAAAAGAATTCATCTATTATTGATTTGATTAAATGAGTTCGTGTATTTTTTTTTTAATCAATTGAATACAATTTGCTAAAATTAAAATTTTATCCTCATAAATTAAGTAGTCTTTTTCACTACTTAAGCCATTATCATCAACTTTTTTTATTCATTTTAATATAACCACTCATTCCATCACTTTAAAAATATCTTTTTTATTTAATAAATTGTAAATATAAAATAAAAAACTCAATTAATCAAAGTGATAATGTAGTAGTTATTTTGATGAATTAGTAAAAACGCAAGATACAAATAATGAATTTAAAAAAAAAAAAACTTTGAGTCTGATACTTATTTGTAAGAGAAATATTAAATGTACGAATTAAAATAACTTTTGTATAAAATATATGGACTAAAATTAACATTATTGAAAATATCTTTTTTAGCCTGCCAAATATGACGCAGGCGGGTATCCGTTTGTTCCGGACTTTGAGGTGATTTCTTACCGGGTATGCTGGGTAATGGAAATTTAAGTGGAATTGGTTTAATTCCGGATACTAGGACTCAAAAGCAATAAATAATCGTTAAAATTGTGGTATTTTCTCGACTCCTGAATCCTGACTTCTTTTTTAGTAATCTTCGTGCTGCTTCAATCATGACTTCTTTTGAAAATATCCCTTAATTATTATATTTTAAGATTAAATGGATCAAATTTTCTATGATTTTTAATTTATTTAAAATTAATTTTTAAATTTCTAATTTTAGATTTGATTTTAAAAAAATTTATTCTATTTTTTAGTTTTTTTATAAAAAAATAATGTTTACAAAAATAGTATCACGACGAAAATTATCCAATAAAATTTATTTACAACTCCCTAAAAGTTTAGAATTTGTTCAAATTATTTTATATTTTTTCTAATTTTTAATACTTATAAAATAAAAATATATACTTTCCGATCTTAAATAATTCTAAAATTTTTCTCAATATATGTATAAAATTTTATATTAAAATATCAAAAAATAATTTTTTATAGAGAGCAGTAACATCTAAAAATTATAGGATAAATTATTTTTAAAAAAAAATCAAAGTTTAGATAAAGTTTTAGAATTGATTTTTAAATAAATCAAAGTTCAAAAAAATTGATCCATATAATTTTTTTAATTAACTCTAAAACTTTTGTATTTTTATCTACTACTGTCGTTGTTTACCACCAGTTTAGAAAACGTGTTTGTAATTGTAACAAGACAAGAAACTAATTAAAATATTACAATATCATTAATAACAATGTGGACAAGAAACCATATTGTTAAGAATCAGCGAGTATATATATATATTGAGCATAGAATAAAGTTAATAGAAGAATAGTAAAAGGAACATAAAGAAAGCATGTTATAAAGGGCAATTGAAATATATAATTAACCCAACATTTTCCCCTATATATATTTCCTTAATGTAGTACCAATTAAATGGACCACGTGGTTACCAATGTTTTAACAAAAGTCACCGATTAAATGGACCACGTGGTTTCCAATGTTTTAACAAAAGTCATTTAGACAGTCGTGCAGTAACAACTTGATCAGGCTTCCTGGTCAATTGAATCTAATTTAATATCTAGCTTTTTTAAAAAAAAATCAGGTCAATTAATTCCGAATGCCAGTGCTACTATGGATATTTTTTACTCCGTAAACGTAAATAATTTTCACAGTTACAGAAAATACAAGCTCTGAACTTCCAACATAAAAACAAAAACAAAGATTATTTTTCCAGGCAAAATAAATTTTACACATATTAAGATAGCGTATAATTTAATTTTTTTTAATTGAGATCCTAATTTTTTTTTATCTAATTTAAGAATTCTACTCTTATGTTGCTGTTGTTTTACACCTTAATATGCCTTTTAAGCGCACATAGCAAGCTCTAGCCGGTAATAGCTTACCGCGTGTCATAATAGATCCAAATTGAATGATTGAATTGGTAATGTGATAAGCTATTGTTTACTAGAATATGCCACATGTGCTTCCGTAGCAAGCTATCATTACCTAAGATCCGAAACAACAACAACATAAGAGTAGAACTCTTAAATTAGACAAAAAAAAATTTAAGATCTTAATAAAAGAAATTTAAATTGTACAGAATCTCAATAAACATAAAACCCCACCCAAAACCTTTTAAAAGATGACCATTGTCTCAATATATGCCCTTGACGAGTCAATGGGCAAGGAATTTATTTACAATCTTTAGGCCTAAGCTCAATTCCTTCAATAATGATGCCATGTTTAGGATTGTCAATAAACATAAAACCCCACAAAAAACCTTTAAAAAGATGACCATTGTCTCAATATATGCCCTTGACGAGTGAATGGGCAGGGAATTTATTTACCATCTTTAGGCCTAAGCTCAATTCCTTCAATAATGATGCCATGTTTAGGGTTGTGACTATCAGCCTCTGATACACTACAAACAATATTCCCATCCCCTTCCTTATCGTTGTAAAACTCACCCATTTCAATCTCCATCCACCCATCTTCTCTTTCGAGAGGCCATCGATGCATGTTCGCTGGAGGATCTAGCAATACGCTACGTGTTACACCAACTTCACTTCCTTCCAAATGGACACCCAATTTGACCGGTCTCATATCAAAACCATGTCTGAAAATGGGAAACTTGAACACAAGGTAAGCTGCATAGGTTGTTTTCGGAGACAAATTTTTAGCCTCTATCCTCCACTTGATATCAAGCCACCATACCACCCTGAGCACAGCCACCTCAGAGAACCTATAAATATTGGATCATAGATCAAAAGACAATACAAGAGTATTTTATTAGACTAGTCAATCAAAAAAATACAAGGACTTGTCAAAGGATTTAAGCACTTAATTATTTCCCTCTCCTTGATTCAATATTAAAGTTTGTTCAAAAATTTGTTCGCTGTGGAACTTAATAAATTTCGAGAACCCATCAGTAAAATTGTGCTCTCAAAACCCAGTTGTAGTGGTAGATATAGAGACAAAATTCTAGGTATTTGAGAAACAAAAATTAGGCTACATTGCTTATGTGTCAAGATGTACTTTAGAAATTTTTCCAGGCAAAAGAACCAAGCCTAAGGAATTCAACAGAATTATAGTATCCGTAAATGCTTTTGAAACAAAAATAAAGTTGAATCATTATGGCTTTCAGGAATACAAAGTCATCAACAAAATCTGAACAATGGAGAAGGGCTTCTTCTATTATGCACTGAGTTTTTTTTTTCAATCTAAAACTTTAACTATACCACGTAACCACATTGAAAAAATAAAAAATAAAACAATGTATTATTATTCACTATATTATTTAAAACACGCACTATTCACCAAGACTCAAATGTATTATTCTTTTTATTATGTAGTGGTATTTTTGTAATTTTCAAATATTTTAAAGACATTTATTACAAAAAAATTTTCATGATATTAAACTTTGATCCCTCTTTTTTAAATATTATATTTTTAGTCCATAAATATTTTTTTATTTAATCTTGATCCCTCTTTTTGTTCATTTTAGTCACTTTTTTCTCTAATTTTTTTTAATTAAAATTTTTAAGGCACAAAAAATGTTTAAAAAAACAATTTAAAGAGTAAGTTTTTAGTTAAGAATACATTAATTTTGATTTTTTTATATTATTATAAATTTTTTAGTTTGTGGATAGAGATAAATAAATAATGTTTTTTAATAAAAAAATATAAATAATAACCAATCAAATACAAAATTTTAATTAAAAACTTATAAAATTGAATGAATTTTTATTCCGTTTTGATTTGATATATGTTGATATATGCATAATATAATAAAAACATCAAATTATCAAAACATGAAATTAAAATAATCTTTGAAAAATAATTTTGTGTTTTGTTTAATTCGCAGCAAAATGTTAATAAAAAAACTAAACTAGTATACACACACACACACACAAAGTACTGGCTAGAATCCAGGCAGTACATTATTTACTTCTGGGACTTTGAGGCCAAACCCTGATAGAAGAAGTTGTGTGATACAAATGATGTTTATCATTGTCACTGCATTAATATAGAGGCTAGGAATTTATCTACCCTCTTTAGGCCTAAACTCGATTCCTTCAATAATGAGGCCATGCTTAGTAGTGTAAATATCAACCTCCCTTAGACTAGACACCACCATGCCATCATCTCCATTTTCATTGAAAAACTCACCCATCTCAATCTCCATCCACCCATCAAGTTCAATGGAGGAAATTTGCTATATATATAGAGTTCAGGAAGAAAACAAGGTGCTACCAATCACAGACTAAAGTTTTGTTAAACTACTAGACATTAGGTAATTATAGCCTTTAGAGACCATCGTGACACAATAAAGTTAGCAAACAAGGGAAGGGGCTAGGCATCAAGAAAAGCGGAGCTCATGATGCAGATCAAGGATAGTGACAATAAACAGTTAATGGTAAGCATCATCTGGTAAACATAACCATATAAATATATACTGTCGGTAAACTGAGAGAGAGAGAGAGAACAAACCTAGACTGGTCTGGTAAGGATTTCCAGTTCCAATAGTCAGGTGTATGTCCCCACATAATTGAAAGTCCTCTTGCTCCAATCATGTAACATGTTTTCCCATTTTGCTTCTCTAGTGCAAAGCTCTGTTTCAATTAAGGGGGAAAAAAACAGAGGAGTATCTAAAATCATCAGAGGAAACAGGAGAGAGAAAAAATAAAACATGATTAGCGAAACCTCCTAAACATATGCAACTAATTAAGCTACTCAACTCCACCACAGATGTGGGACACAGAAACAACCTTGACTAATTCAAAGACCTAGTTGGAATCATTACCCAAAATTCAAATACTATAACACAGATAAAGCAGAATCTTCCTTACCATCATACCATTGTTGATAAGGATGGGGTTGTTACAAAGATGGAAATAAAGTTCCTTCTTGGATAAAGAAGTTAGCTGTGAGTATGATGAGGCTGTAGTGCTGGATATGATCTCAAGATAATTAGACGGCAGAAATCTTTTCCACACAGCATCAGAATCTGCAGCTGATTGGAAGTTATGGGAGACCAGTGCAGATCGGCACGCATCCTGCGGCGATGTCAAGGAGATGATGTGGGCTAGGCACTCCTCCGGCAAAAATTTGGAAATATCCATCCTCCGTGCCTTCTTCGATCTTTCCAAATGTTCAACAATTCTTTAGACGCGATTTAGCTATATTTAATACAAACGAACCTTTCAGCATTCACATTATCAAAGGAATCAATAGCTGCTGAGATTTTTCTTATTTATTTATTATTTATTATTTTTTTTGTCGTGTTATTATGTTATTTTTCATCCAAAGCTTTATTTCTTTACGTTTCGTTTTAATCTCGTTTTTTCATTAATTTTTAGATTAATAGTGTTAACTTTTTTTATATTCCTTAATCTCATCTTTCTATTTTATTTTTTTCCATCTTAATCTTATTTTTTATCCAATTTAAATAAATAAATATTGGAAAATTTAAAAAAAATGAAAAAACAGTGAAAACATAAAAATATATTTTTTATAAGTTTAAATTTATCTTTGTGATGGTAAGCAATTTTTAATCATAAAATAAAATATTTATAGTATTTTATTTTAATGTGTCTCTATGATAATAAGCAAATATTAAGTATAAAATAAACTATTTATAGTTTTTTTTTAATGTGAAAAGAGTTTTAATCAAATTTTTAAAGTTTGATAAATTTAAATATATAAACAATACTTTGGATAAAAGATATTTTTAGTTTCACTTTTTTTTAGTTTTAATTTTTAAAGATAATGATTGGGTATATTTTTACTTTTTCAAGTTTTGTTAATTCATTTATTTAAATTTTTTAAAAAATAAGATTGTGATGGAAAAATTGAGTAGAAGAGTGAGATTGAGACAAATATATATATATATATATATATGTTAACATGTTAGTCTAAAAGTTCACGAAAGAGCAAGATTAAAAAAAAAAATCAAAAATAGAAAGATGAATTTAAAACTCAAAATGATGGAGAGACCTAGTAAAGCAAAAGAAAAAAACAGAGAAACTTCTACAGCCATTAGCCTATTATCAAAATAATAGTAATAATAATAATAATAATCTTTGAGACACAAATTCGTCCATAAAATAGATTGAAAAACTTCGGTTAAACTTATTATTTGGGCATATGTTTTGTCAATTAATCAAAAGAATTCATCTATTGTTGATTTGATTAAATGAGTTTGTATTTTTTATTTTAATCAATTGAATACAATATGCTAAAATTAAAAATTTATCCTCGTCAATGAAGTAGTCTTTTTCACCACTTAAGCCATTATCATCAACTTTTTTATTCATTTTAATATAACCACTCATTCCATCATTTAAAAAATATATTTTTTGATTTAATAAATTGTAAATATAAAATACAAAACTCAATTAATCAAAGTGATAATGCAGTAATTATTTTGATGAATTAGTAAAAACACAAGATAAAAATAATGAATTTTATAAAAAAAAACTTTGACTCAAAGACTTATTTGTAAGAGAAATATTAAATATAAGAATTAAAATAACTTTTATATAAACATAAATGGGCTAAAATTAACATTATTGAAAAGCTCTTGTTAGCCTGCCAAATATGACACATGCAGGTATCCGTTTGTTCCGGATTTTGAGGTGATTTCTTACCGGGTATGGTAGGTCATGGAAATTTAAGTGGAATTGATTTAATTCCGCATACTAGGACTCAGATGCAATAGACATTCGTTAAAATTTTGGTATTTTCTCGAAACCTTCTAGAAAATTTTATAATATTCAAAGAGTAATTAATGATATGTATAATAAATATTACATAAATTTATTTTTTTAAAACATAGATATATAAAATTATATTTGGACCCATAAAAAATGATAAGAAGATTTTTTTGTCTTCTCAATATTTTTTTTAATGTTCTCTCTCATATTTCTCTCTTTTTTTCCTTTTTTTGCACCTTGCTCTTTTCTCCAAATATGTTTATAGAGTAACTACTATATATGTCACTAATTACTCTTTAACCATTATAAAATTTCTCACTCCCAAATCCCGACTTCATTTTTAGCAATCTTCGTATTGCTTCGATCATGACTTCTTTTATAAACATCTCTTCATTATTATTTTAAGATTAAATGGATCAAATTTTTTATGATTTTTAATTTACTTAAAATTAATTTTTAAATTTCTAATTTTAGATTTTATTTTTAAAAATTTTTTATTCTATTTTTTAATTTTTTAATAAAAAATAATGGTCATAAAAATAGTCTCATGATAAAAATTATTCAGTAAAATTTATTTAGGATTCCCTAAAAATTTAAAATTATTTTCAATTATTTTCTTTTTTCTGATTTTTAATATTTATAAAATAAAAATATATACTTTCCAACCTTAAATAATTCTAGAAATTTCCTCAATATATGTACAAAATTTCATATCAAAATATCAAAAATTATTTTTTTAATAGAGAGCAGTAACAGCTGAAAATTATAGGATTAATTAATTTTTTAAAAAAAATCAAAGTTTAAATAAGGTTAAACACAAAATTAAAAGTTTGGAATTGATTTTTTAAATAAATTAAAGTTCAAAAAAATTGATCCATATAGGTTTTTTTTTTAATTAACTTTTAAAATTATGTACTTTTATCTACTGCTGTCCTTGTTTATAATCAGTTTAGAACACGTGTTTGTAACAAGACCACAAACTAATTAAAATATAACAATATCATTAATAACAGTGTGGACAAAAACCACACTGTCAAGAATCCTTGAGGGTGTATATATATATATATATATATATTTATATTATTTTTTTGAATTGAGTATAGAATAAAGTTAATAATAGTAAAAGGAATATATTGAAAGTATCGAGAATAAAGGGAAATTGAAATATATAATTAACCCAGATCTACCAAGGAATTAAGCTAATCTATAATTTTTTGGCTTGATTTATTACTGAAAATTTTAATTGTAAGTTACAAGTGAACATAATGTGTTTTGTGGAAATTTTCTTTCAGTTGTTCGGTCTGTGCGTATTTCAATTTTATGTGATACTTTTAAAGGGACATCATAATTGCATATTTGAAATATACATATCACAACAAAAAAGAAAAAAAAAGATAAACTAGAATAAATTACTAGTACAGTATCCTGTCATGGATAATTTCTTTTTTCACATACGCATTAAATTTGGAGTACCTCACTCAAAGGCGAAACTAAGAATTTAAGATTGAGAAAGCTAGAAAACATATTATGATACAAAAATCATTTACACACAAAAGAAATATATAAAACAGTTAGATTTTGGGCCAACATTTTTTTTTTTAACTAAAAGGGGCCATGTTATAGAAAAAATGTATAACATATATGAAATAATTGTTAAATTTCAAAGACCACTTGAACTTTGTGGAGGCCCTGTCTTCCACCAGCACCCCGTAAATTTGCCTCTTGCTTCAGTGCAACAACAGTTTTTACACAAATGTTAGCAGAGAGCATAAAGTTGTGATCAAACCAAGTTATTGTATCATCCGATTTCTACATACTAGATAAGGTCTGATATATATATATATATATATATATATCAATTATTTTTATTTATTTTTCATTTAAAACGGTATTTGGTTAAGATCCAAATAAATTATGATGAATTTCAATAATTAAAAATTCCTTTCCCACAAGTTAGTTGGTATTTATACATTTTGTTATTAAGGTACATAAAGAGTAATATTATTAAATAATAAAAAATTCATACAATCAATAAAGTTAAGATAAAAAAAAATTGAAACTTTGTATTAAACTCGAATGTATCAACAGAATCATTTGATTATTCCTGCTAATGATTCTAACCAAAATCCATTTTTTAGGTATAACAAAAATTTGTATTTTCAAATGATATCGGAGGGCTTTGTAGCTATCGTGGAAATTCCATTTTCCTTTAATCATAAGAAAATTAGGAATTAAAATCACGAGTATCATTTATTTTCGATATAAAAAAGATCGAATCATCAAAATAGTTATATTAAAGTTTTAGATGACTATCTTGAAGCATAATTAGTTTACTTTTTTTGAGACAATACGTTCGTTTATAGAATTTATATGATGCAATAAATTTAAAATATATTGCATGTCATTTCAAAAAAATAACAAGTTTAATTATCTTATCATATTTTATAATTTTATATTAGTTATAAGATTTAAAACTCTAAATATAATATTATTATTTTTATTTAAAGAAAGAACTAATAAAAGTAACATGGCTTTTTGATAGGAATATAAAGAATACAAATAATTTTTTTCTAAAAACAATAATACATGTGGCTATATTTAGCCAAAGGAAAATGAACGTACATGCTGCTATCTTAAAAAAAAAAACACACATGTCACTTTTTCAAGAACCACAAGTATACACACTATATCTCATTTTGTCGGAAACAAAGTCAAACATATATAGTGTGGAAATTGTCCGTTGGACGTGAGAGAAGAAAAATGACGCAGAATAAATGTCTAAAGAGGCGGTTTGCTCTCCCCTCTTTTAGCAGTTTCAGAACAGTACAGTAGGTATTATCCCATATACTAAAGCAAAACGTTTTTTTACTATAACAATAAACAGTATCAATAACTGTTCATTGCTACAGTATTTTTTTAAATTTTCATTAATTTTTTTTTCTTGACCCGCTGCCCCCCAATCCCTTCACTGTTCATTTGAACAGTAAACGACTTCACTCTTTTTTTTTTTTGGTAAACATTGAATTTTTTTAAAAAATTTCCGTCCATTTACTGTTCGCATGAACAGTAAACGGCTTGCACTTTTTTTTTTCTAAAAATTGAATTTTTTTTAATTTCTGTTTCTTAATAGTATTTGGTGTTAAAATTTTAAAAGAACCAATAATTAATTGGGTGTTAAAATTTTAAAGAAATCAGCAATTTATTTCTAAAATTAAAAAAATAAAAAAATAGTTAAATAAAAAATTTTATCCAACCCGTAACATAATGCAAGTAAAAAATCTAATACTATATATTAAAGAAAAACCATTTTTCATTGTAGCAATGAACAGGTATTAATCACTCGTTCATTGCTATATTACTTTGACCTTTTTTGTTTTTTAAGTTTTCATTTTTTTTTTTTACCAAGC